AAGAAACAAGAACCATTGTCCAAATTTAATTATTTTTACTCAATATAATTTCTTTTAAGCTACTTGACTAACTTTGTAAGTGGTGTATATGGTCATGGGCCTTTGTGAATTGACACATCTTTAAGAGTTGGATTTAGCTACAATTATTTCAGGGGAGCCTTGCCTTCCTGTTTGGCAAATTTGACTTCTCTCCGGAGTTTAAGCCTCGATTCAAATAGATTTTTTTGGAGATATAGCTCTATCACCCCTTAACAAATTGACATCCCTTCATTACCTATCCCTTTCAGACAATCACTTCCAAGCTCCCATCTCCCTTCAACCATTCTTCAACCATTCAAACCTCAAGCATATTTATGCTGAAAACAACGAATTTTATGTACATACCAACATTGAATCCTTGGAACCAACTTTCCAACTAAAGACCTTAGTTTTGTCTGGTCATGGAGATTGTGGAGGAATTCCAAACTTCGTCTACTCTCAACACAACCTCGAAACTTTAGACCTCTCACAACTTAACCTAACTGGAGAGTTTCCCATTTGGTTGTTGGAAAACAACACAATGTTGAACGAACTTTTGCTGGTTAACAATTCCCTCTCTGGACCTATTAAGTTGCTAGCTCATTCTCATATGAGTTTGGAAGATCTAGATAACTCCAAAAATTTCTTCTCCAATGGAGATCGGAGCATCTTTGCCAAGTTCACAATATTTAAACATTTCAAAAAATTCTCTTACTGGTAGCATTTCCCATTCGATTGGTGATATAAAGTTGCTGAAGTATTTGGATTTATCTCACAATAACTTATCTGGTGGAATACCTGAGAAGTTAACCATAGGTTGCCCATCATTATGGTCCCTTATTCTATCAAACAACAATCTGCAAGGCCAGATTTTCTTTGAGAAATTTAGCTTATTCCAGTTGGAGGAATTACAATTGAATGGCAATCACTTTTCTGGAAGTATCCCAAAAAGCCTATCAAACTGCTCTTATCTGTCTTCAATAAATTTCAACAATAACAATCTCTCTGGAAGGAGCTCGAGCTGGATGGGAAATATGTCATACTTGCAAGAAATTATCATGCCCAATAATGTTCTTGAAGGTCCAATTCCTATTGACTTTTGTCAGCTTCAAAATCTTAAAATTCTTGACCTTTCAAATAACAATATTTCAGGGAGTCTACCAGCATGTTTCAGCCCAAAGCAGATAATTCATGTTCATTTATCCAAAAACTGGCTAGAAGGGTCTTTGACAACACAGTTTTGTGACAGCTCTTCTCTCATAACACTAGATCTTAGTGACAACCAGCTAAGTGGTAACATCCCAAATTGCATCAATATGCTTGATGAGTTGAGTGATCTTACCTTGAAGAACAATAATCTTGAAGGTGAGATCCTAATTCAACTATGTAAGTTGCATAAATTGAGCTTGATTGATCTATCTCAGAACCTTCTCTTAGGCCATATACCTTCTTGCCTAAATATTACTACTTTTGATGAGGATTACAAGGTTGGTCCATCTATAGCTCAAGCTCCTAAAGCATCTTATGCTCAACCTCTTGAGCCAATTTCTACAAATGAACCAGTGTATTTCACAACAAAGAATGTGCTATATTCTTACAAGGGAAAACTTCTCACCTACATGTCTGGAATAGACCTGTCCTACAACAAACGAACCGGTGA